TTCGAGTTCCATCTGGTAGACATCGAACGAGATAAAATTTCTTGATAAATGCGTTTCAGTCGAACGGTAAACATCAGCCTTCGTGTTGTAATTTGCATTTCTTGTATTTTAAGCTATACAGTACACTTGAAAAAGGGCCGTCAATCGTGAGGAGCTTGGCGAAAGTTTTCACCACAGGTACGCTTTTTGGTTTTTAAGATTCTGTATGTATTTTTTCCAAAGCAGCCCCTCATTGGCGAAACTATCAATTACATAAGATGTATCACTGTATCTTTAACCAATGAGTGGATCTAGGAGAAAAATATGTGGGATGTTGACGAAAGCTCCATGACTACCATCGCCATATCAAAAGCGAAATATAATGTACTAAAAATGGTTTCGATCGCGGGACCATTACCAGCCTAGTCGGTCAATTAGAGTTACATATGGTTCAAAACAAAGCAAAACAAAGTTCTTGCATTGTACTGCCCATGAGTTAAATAGTATGCCACTATGGCATCTCTTTTACTGTCACTGGTCTATCTAAAACATTTCCGAGCGAGAACACTTAAAATGTATGGAAAATATATCAAGGAACTTGGACTCCAAGTTCTAATAGCCTTACTATTAGAAGCCTTGTATATCATATCATTCGGAGAAGAAAAGAACAAGATTTTTAAAAGTCATGTCAACTATTAAACCATAGAACACAGGCTAGAATGCGGAATCAACTTCATTGTAACGTCAATGATCACACCATGGCGTGGAATGTTTTCAGAGATTGTCATATCATTTTTATTTCTGTTCTTACAAGTCCCATTAAAATAGCTAACTTTAATGATAATTCTTTATTCCCTTACTTAGATATTCCATTTGTTTCCTTATCACTTAGAAGTCCAACTCGGCATGGCCAATTTCTTGGGGACAAATTCCACAAACGATGTGAATATGGCCAGCATCGAAGGCTACAAAGCTAACATCCCTCTGGAGGTTACCTACATCAGCACTACCATCATTAATAGTATCGCTTGCCCCTTTACAGTTCTGCTCAATGCATTAGTGATAGTGGCGGTGAAGAGAACACCGCAGCTTAGAACCAACACCTTATTCTTGTATCTTGAGGCAAGACGCCACGAAAAGATAATAAAAACTCAACAATTGCCCCAACAAGAAGTGGAAAGAATGTGTTTGTGGTCGGTGCCGTCATTTGTTGGTTTTTGCCCGCTTTTTTGTATGCAATTCTCTGCCTCTCTGGGACTATACAGACGAATGATCTTTGGGGTTCATGGATTAGAACAGGTGTTATGCTTAACTCTCTTATAAATCCACTAATCTACTCTTGGCGACAAAAAGAGATGAAGAAGTTCATATTTGTTTAAAAATACAGGTGGTGCAACCCCAACCTGTTAAACGGTGAAAATGGGGAAGCAGGAATAACCCTTTAGGATGAATTTGAATAAGAATGACGGTGCAGCTACCCATGTTTTTTCATTACTATGTATGGATAGGGATGATTGTTGTAACAACGTTATTGAATAAATGGCATTGCCGTAGTCATTCAGAGCTAGTCTCTGTAAGAATGAAACATCTTGGGAAATGAAAATTTTCAACCCCTTCAAATTTTGCATGCAGCTAGGCACTCAGGGGGGAGAACGAAAATGCCCCTTTTTGAAGGTTGTAGCACTCTTGTTTCTTACAAAAACAGCACCAAAAAGTGTAAAATGTTTATTTCGCGATCTCAAGCTCATCATAACATTGCAAAGTTGTACTTCTACCACATATAGTGACATCATTCGTCTATACTTTGATGAGAGTGAACGTGAAACATTAATCGCCGTTTATTCATCTCGGTACAGTTCGGTCATATCTTATGTAAGCGTAAAACAGGGAAAACGTTTATCTGTATTTCTCCAAAACAACACCGATTCTGGAATTGAAACTATGCACCTAATTGGCTATAATATTAATAGTCTAATTTTTAATTCTGTAAAAATCTCTGCGGGCCGGCCTCTACTTTTCGTGGGGGTAATTTGCGAACGAAATTCAAAAATAAGATATCGCATATCTTGGTGATATTCACATCTAATGTTCTCAAGAACAAAAGTTTCTGACAAATGGAATGTGCATGGCTTTGAAAAAATCTTATCTTATGAGAAATATCCCGAACTCGAAAATTATTGCATCTGGCTGTCATCTTTAAAAAACAAATTGATCAGCTTCCATGGAGGAATACTCGTGGATAACTTACAAAACAAGACCAGTTTACACGCTAATACTGATACCTAACATGCACGTACAATTAATTTAGTTACACTGACAGAGTCGGCCATAAGTCAGTTTATATGAAGTTTTATGTTGAGGATGTTGTGTATGAAGTCATATAGATTCTTGAACTATTGCTGCCAAACAGATTATGCTACAAACTCCAAGCCACAAATACAAATTAAAATTAAATTTCAAACCGAATCTTCTATGCTTAATTAAAGGACTAGGTAAGAAAATCTGGGCCATTTCCGAGCTGTTGAACTCAAAAACCAATCTGATATCAAAAACAGCAAGTAAGAGCCAAGTTAAAGATAAACTTCCGCAGTCACTAAAACACTTGCTACAGAAGTGACGCTTTCCGACAAAACTGGACAAACATTCGTAATTTCCGTTGTATGACATCGCTTAAGTCATGAAATTAACTTGTTGTTGATAGTGATCAGTAACTATTCTGAATTGAAGGCGTACACACCACTAGATGTGACACCATCTTGATGGAGTCAGTGAGCACAGCTTTCAGGTTCTGTTGAACGAAAGTTAGAGAGGGTTCACGATTACGTTTTTATGAGTCGCAATTGAGGGAAAATAATATATGCGCCTACTAAATCGCCCAATAACTTTATTGATCACATTCCCAACTTACTGCATGGCACGCCTTGATAACGTTCTCTGTGGTTGCGCCGTGAGTGGTTTTCGTTGTATTCAGGGATACAATATCCATTCTCCCCGCAAAATGACTCAGGGGCGGATCCAGGATTAAGTCAAGGGGGGTTCGGAGAATTGTTCGAGGGCATGCTCCCCTGGAAGATTTTGAAAATTAGGTCTTCGGAAACATGATTTCCAGCACTTTGAGGGAAAATTTAGGGGGTTCGACCCAACCACCCGAACCACCCGAGCCACCCCTGGATCCGCCCCAGACTTGTCCTTCTTACAGGCGCTTTGTATAAAGAAAATAGATACATTCCATACTGTTGGACGATAGATAACTTCTATAGACGCATGAGGCATTAAAAATATAAAGGAAACTCATTCATAAACAAGTAAAAGTTCCTGCATGGTCCCATGCGATGATCGAGTAGTGCACAGACTCATGGAATCCCAAGTCAGAGGGACCTTAAACAATCAGAAAGCAACACCTAGGAAAACGTCGGCTAAAAAATAAATTCAAATCTTAAACTCGAATTTCTCGAATGACTGGATTTGTTTATCGTCCCTTATAGCGCCACACCTCAACTTCAGCAAAATGTGAGAGAGCATTGCTGAATTCCAAATGAAAACTTAAATAATTTGCCGTTGGGGTTTCCGTCCTCAGACGACGCAAATTTTGAGATTTCACGTTGTTGTTTTGCTGAGAAGGTTAAGAAATATTCAAAGATTTAAAACATACTTGCTGGGGCTATTGCTCTGTATATTAGCATTTTTTTTTGTTTTGCCACGTCCTCGTTGCCTTCCCCGTTGTGCTTTGCTTTAGGTATGCTCGTGACAAAATGACCCTCGGTCGAACTTCGTTATGTGCGCCATTCGCTTTCAAGATGAAAATATAAGAGCATGCACTATTCAAATTCATTTGAATTTGGTATTTTGTACCTCGAATCAGCAAGAAGCACCCAACCGTGTGTTTATTTCTCCCTACTCTCCTTTCAACCGAGATATCGCAGTTCCGTTCGGGAATCTCAGGATTGAAAATAGAGCATAATGACTGATAAGCTTTCTTAGCACTGAAAACTGGGCCTACTTTAGCAAATACTCTTTCACCTGCATTTCTCTGTATCTCAAGTTTTCGTACTCATTTGGCACCTGAATTTATTTTTTCCGTTATCCTCTGCTTCAAAGTTATAGGACTTACATCTCTGTTCCTCCACACATTCAAACTGCAGAGAAGATAATTCTGAATCTACTTCAGTTTTCTCTTATCACGCTTCTAATTCGCCTCATTCCTTCCGTAGTCATAGCAGAGTTTATGGCTTCTAGGCTGGGCTTTGAAATACGACCGTTGGAAAGTTGCTAAACATAATATAAAGCAAGATAAAAAATCTGACATCAACTCTCACCTAATGATCAAAGTGAATAAAGGCTGATAGTTTCTAAAGAAACTGTTTTGCGCTGCGTCGGTGGGGGTAACGAAATAATTTGAATATAGCAACAAAGTTGAAATGGTAAATTGGCCACCGTTACGGTTACAAAAGCTGACGTTTCGAGCGTTAGCCCTTCGTCGGAGTTACCCTTCGCTCCAACGAAGGGCTAACGCTCGAAACGTCAGCTTTTATAACCGTAACGGTGGCCAATTCATCATTTCAAATTTGTTGATATATTCAAATAATAATGATCAAAGTGTTTTGGGATAAGCGTATTTGTTTTGAAACCTACAGTCTTAAGGTCAGGGATGAGCACCGCCTTCTAATCCCTCTGATTGGCTGTGTATCATCGACCAGAAGGGAAGCGAGCGCTATAGCCATCAATAGGACGACATTCGTGAAGAGTTGCTTGGCCAAGGAAACTATCCCGTGTACATCATTCTTATGGTCATTCGTTAAAGTATCCTTTCAAATAGTAGCTCACCCAAACTACGAAATAGTTTTTGCCGATCGATGATGGAACATGGTAGATCAAAAACGAGTGAGGAGTTGAAACAATCTTCAACTTAATGGATCATTAAATATGATAATTTACTGCTAGTTATAATGTTCTCAGTCTTTGGATTCAAGATTAGAGAACCCCGTTGCACTGCCGGAAAAATGTAAAAGAATCAGCGCACGTAATGCCTACACCACTTTTATTGTATATTTGCTCAGAATACTATGTTGTCTCTTTGGAACATGACCGAGGTAATTATATGTATCTCTACTTGGAACATCAACTCAATGTAGTAACAGTAAGCTTTTTAACTTTATGGTAAAAACACCATTTACGAGGTCTGTTTGACAAGCATCATTTTTTTGCCTCGCTCTTCTCTCGTGTTTTTTTTCCCGATTGTTGAAAGGGCGCTTTCCCTTCCTACCCACCCCAAAACACGACGCCTTTCTCACTGGTTTCATTTTACTAGTAACTTCGATGAAATCATCTTTACATTGAAAATTATCACATAAGAAAGTTATACGATCATCTGATTGCTAAATATTTCTTATGATAATCTTATTTGACATGTTTCACCTTGGAGAACCTGACAATTGTAGATTTATTCTACAATATTCACCTATGGGGAATCGTTTACTTTAGACTCTCGATAGGTGATCGAGGAGAGATTGATCTTTTGTAAAGATTACTTTGGAAGGAATCTACAAACTCCACTGTCATGTTCTCCACCGAGGCGCGTATCACCGCAAATCCTCCGAATCTTAAGTACTCAGCCCAGAAAAACAGAGAGCTTCCTTTCGGTACTTTGTCTTTGTTCCGGGTGCTTCTAAACACAATGTCACCGGCTCCAATGACGAAATATTCAACTGAGGAATTCTGTTCTTTTAGGTGCTGGAAGTTGCCATTGCGTCATAGAAATTTCAAAGAATAAACAGAAGGAAAAGAGAAGTATTTCAATGGTCAGCAACGGGGATGTGGGGATTACCCACATCTACCAATTATTGTTCTGGTTACCGACCTTATATATAATGGACTACTTTGGACGAAAGAGAACAAAGAGAAATTGAACGCCAACTGTCGTGCTCATGTTAGTGAGGCCGTGAATCATCGTGCACGGTTATTTTCCTTTGCTCAAAATATTTCTGTTTAAACGGGACTCGCAAGAGCAATGGTTAAAATTGTTCTTATCATTCAACTGTTGTAAAAGACCCACCCCCCTCCCCCAAGGATTTAATTCTGGACATTGTAATGAAGGGATTTCATGATCAGCTCTCCTCGTGGTCTTCCAACATCCGGCGTGGCTTCATCACGTCATAAAGCCCGGAAAATGCGTTATATTGGTTAAGTGTAGGTAATGTTAGGGATGAAGATTATGATAATGATGATAACGATAATGAGTGATTATGGTGACAATGTTGATGATGTTAATGTTGCGAAGGAGACATCGGAGGCGAAGGGGGAAGAGGAAGTTGGTCGAATGGGCGAGGAGGTTCGGCAACAGTTGTCAGTGGTGGTTGTAGGCCTGCTGTTTATTCCCGAGAGCGATGTAGAAGGTGATTAGGAAATGTTGCGATAGATGGTGACTTTTACTAACGCTGTTGTAGTCATTCTTACAAGTGTTGAATGCTGGTGAACGCGTCAAATTGGTCTGGAATAATCTATCTACCTGTGACTGACTAATTTTAAATAATCTTAGGGCCTGTATACGAAACGGAATCGAATAACTACTGCAGCCTATCTCAGTTTCTGTAGCTTGAGGCAATTAACAGCACTTGTATTCTCGAAGGAAGGCGTGTTGGTACATGGCAATTGATCTCTGCACATTTCCGCATGTTTCCCCGGCACAATTCACCCGAAACCATTTATACTGCTGAATGAAGAGAGACATTGAGTGAATCTTGTCCTCGGAGCCAATACGCCGAAGAGTCGCCGATCAGAAGTCGAACATGAGTCGGCTTCTGCATTAAGCCCCAGACTACCTGAACAGCGTCTCCCATTTCAACTTCAAATAAGTATGGCGAAAAATAAATATCTACTATAATTGGTAAAATCAAGTACGTCATGGAACTTAGTACTTATTTCGCTGCTTACTTTTTTCAAAACGAGAAATATTGGTCTTCTGTTGTTTTCTTGAAATGTAGTTTTTCGTACAGCGCATCTGCGACATGCGCAATGGAAAGGATAGAAAAACTCTTTTGATCAACAAGCCCAGCAATGCAGAGAAAATTTGTAAAGCCGGATTCACAATGATGCGAATAAACTATTCAATCAAATTAATATGGTTGAAGGGTCAGTGTTTGTTCTTTTAAGGCGCTTTCCAAACAAAAAAAAGTGAAACCAGAAAGTGGAACTGCCGGAGGAGAAACCTCTTGCTGGAATTCGACTGGCTTTCAAATGTTTCATACATTTCTTCTTTCATCTTGGGTAACACCAATTAAGACTTTTATAGAACAGCCAGCTTTCTGCCCAACAGAGCGAGTGGAAGTGAGAGCTTGGTATAGTACAAAGTTAAGCAATTATTTTACATCGATCAGAAGATCATCAAATCAATCGGAATAGCGTAATGATGACTCGACATGAACACAGAATTCTGACGTTATACATTAATATATTAACAAAAATTTACATTTCCAAAAGTGTAATGACAAAAAGGTGCAAACGGGAAAACTTAGAGCTGTGAAATTCAAGATAGTTAAACTAGAAACCTCATCCAGTCGCTTTTTTTCCATAGCAACACAAATATACTCATTAAAATCAGTCATAAAACCAAAAATCTAAGGTGCTTCAACTTTTTAATTGAATGAAACATTGCATAACAAACTAATTTCCATATAACGAACTTTAAAGAGCATTTTGTATCAACTAAGTTGCTTTAAATTCACTGAGCGACGAGGGAAGAGTCGAGCTTTATAGACAGGAGATCCATCACAATCCAACATCTCTAGTGTGGTGTTATCCACCCCCATGTGCACCACAGCAAATCCTCCCGCCTTGCTGTAGTCAGCCCAGAAAAACAACGAACTATCTTTAGGAACTTTGTTGCTGTGGCTGGTGTCGTTGTTTATTTTTCCGCCAGCTCCAATTACAAAATAGTCGACCGATGAGTTCGCTTCTTTCAAGTGCTACAGGCCATTGATAGAATTTAAGGGAGATCCATGGATATGAAAGAAACATAGAGAGAGTAGGGATTTATCATAAGATCGCAACATTCCATCGGCTTCTGTTCTGATGTTGATAATGACGATGACTACAAAGACTATTATGATGGCGGTGATGATGATGATGATGATGATGATGATGATGATGATGATGGCGATGATGATGATGATGATGATGATGATAGTGGAAGAGATGGCTTTGAAAATGGTAAAAGCGATAGCTAATAGTGAGAACTAAGAAGTCTGGGAGAGATAATGGAGGATAAACAAGGGTCGACTTCGTATACTTTACTGGTTTACCATTGTAACAACGCAAACAGATGTCTGGGAGAGTTTGTTAAAACATTAGCCGTGGTGAGTGATTCACAAGCCTTTTTAATGTTCTCCTGTCATCCCAAGTGAGTTCTGATTACAGCAAGCAATTGCAAACCAGTGTACTACAATGGCCATTGCAAAGATATATGTTTATCTTTAAAGAAAGATTCCACTTACCTGCAGGTTATGATCATGTCCACTGATATAAGCAGTCACGTGATATTCTTCCAGCAAGGGTCTCAGTCGGTCAACTAAACACTGGGTTGGACCGTGTTCAGCTATGGACCAGACTGGGAAATGGCCACCAACGATCAGATAATGCGCTGTGGACGAACGGAGGGTTGATTCTAACCAATTCCATTGTGCTTCAGCAACTTCAATGGACTCGGGCCCTAGTGTTTGTAGCCAAGGGAAATGAAGAAAAGCTTATAAGAAAGGAATATTTCTTGCATATGACATCAGGGGCATAGACAGGTTCAACTTTTCTATATACCGACCAATCAGCGACCAAATTGTTGAAATCACCACATTCTGGAGTAGCATACCAACTGTATCCCTAACGCACTTACTCTAACCCCCTTCCCCTATAAAATGTACCAGTTTGCTTTCTCTGATTGTGCAATATGGCATGTGGGTACTAAAGCGAAATGAAGTTCATTTCCACTTCATTTGTACGCTGGGATTCATGAATGCTTTCTGTTTGTTTGTTGATTTGTTTATTCTATTTTAGCCGAAATACGTTGTTAAGGACTCATTAAGACACAAGCTAAGTCAGTCTGGAGATCGGAAGAGTCGTGACTTACGAAGGTCCATATTTTAACCTCTTACCCGCAAGGGGTGACTAGCTTCCAATTTCTCCCGTAAATAACTGCTAAATCAAACATCAAGGTCATGGGAATAAAGGAAATGATCGTCAACCGAAAAATCTCTTGATTATTAAACAAATTCTCCTTCTCAGTGCTAAAGGAAATTTCCCGAGAGCAGCTAGGAGAACGTGTATACTGATGTAAGATTCTAAAGCGTTAACATACATATATACGTGTGAAGGTGTAGTCTGATCGTCCGGGTGAGTGTAGTCCTGAGAAGGACTGTTGTCGGTGGCAGTGACTGACGTTTCGACAACCTGTGCGGAAGTCATCATCAGAGTCAAGTGAGTGATTGTTGTCAGTAGAATGTTCTTATTCCAGTTCGTGTGAAATGATCGGTTGGTTTTGCCGTGATGTTATTGGCTGTAAGACTCAAGTGACGTAAGTCGTTCGTGATTGGTCTGTTTCGGTCTGTCGGTAAAGCTAGGTTGTTCTTTTTCGGTCGTTTGTGATGTTTATGTCGTGAATGAGTCGTTTGTATGGGGCGGGTAGTTGTTGACATCTGTTTAGGGGAGTCTGTTCTAAGTTAGTAAACCAGCTTTCCAGAGTCAGTCGTTGAAAATAGTCAGTGCTGTAGGTTAGGCATTGCGCAGAGTCCCAGTCAATGTTGTGGTTGGTAAGTCGATGGTGTTCAGCAATGTGATTGCTGACATCACCTTTCCTCGTCGCCCGTCTGTGTTCAGTCAGTCTTGTTGTGAGGTTTCTGCCAGTCTCACCGATGTAGGAGGCTTGGCAGTCGGAACAATTGATCTTATAAATCGTTCCCTGTCTGTTCCTCGGTTCGTCTTTGTCTTTAACGTTGGTTAGTAACTGACGTAGTGTGGTGATGGGTTTGTGGGCGACGCGGATATTGAAGGGTAGTAAGATGCGCGAGATGTTTTCAGACATGCCTTTTATGTACGGTATGGTTGCTGTAGTCGTAGGGGTTGCGGTGTCGTTTGTTTCGGTAGTGGTAGTGGGTCGGTGAGTGTTTCGTCGGATGAAGTCGTTGTTGTAGTTGTTCTTCGTAAAAACACGGTGAAGGTATTTGTTCTCGTCGGATAAGCTGTCTGTCGAGTC